GAATGAAGGTAGGTTTTGTTTGGGATACCAAAAAAGGTTATTGAGGAATGATTGGTTAAGGATAAGGATTTAGATATAAGCTAATTCAGGGAGTTCGCGTGAAGTTAAAAAGCCCTATTTTTCTGCTTCCTTTTTTATTTAGTCTTTTTTTGGGCCATCAGACGCATTAGTATGACTTAGACAGGCATTAATACGAATTAAAAGTGATGAGGACTTTTGAGAACGACCTGTTTCAAGATTTTTCACCAGCTTGGTAAGTTGCATTTTTATTTCTTATAAGCTTATGTGAAAATTCTTCTTGGTTGAGTTCCAATGCTTGAATTTGTGCTTCTAATTGATCACCCATATCTTCTAAATTGTTGCCACAAATAAAGCAAAAAATTTTTAAATTATACAATGATATGATGAATGCATTACATGAATGATAATGATCTATGAATAAGTGAGATGAATAAAAATAATTGCAATCCTATTAATGTTAACATGATTCGTGCAAAAAAAAAAAAAAAGAATAGAGTTAGCATCCAATATAAAGAAAATAAAAGAAACAACAAACTATTGCACAATTCACATATAACGAAAGGTATGTGACCTAAATTTAGGTTATTTCTACAAAAAAAAGACATAACTCTACCAATGGATTAAGTCCATTACAGCTCACTATATGAATGTTTTGGATTCGCAATCTAAATGTTCTAAAATTGTTCCTTACCTTATTATCCATGACAAACTAGTAAGACACTTCAATCCTTACTCTTCACAAGCTGCAACAAAAAAGATTCAATTTGAATGAAAATATTTCAATAGCCATTGAAGAGATTATCATCCATGATAGCATAGGTTTTTACTCATTCTTAAAAGCGATAAAGCTCAGGTATAGAGCTCATGTAATGTAAATGAATGTGTATGTGAAGGAACATATACACTTTTCAACCCCAATTTTTCATAAATCAAACAAAAGACAAAAAAACAAAAGAAAAAGTGATGGCAAACAAATAGCAAAATAATTACATTTTAGGACCATTAACCAAAGAATAGGATAAATTTAAAATTTTATGGCAAAACTCTCTATGATATTGCCAACGCAGTTGTCAAGTTGTTATAATGTATAGATTCATAAACTTATTGCTAGACATAAACTTAAAAAATTACCACCAATCTTTTTTGTTTAGATGCGATTGACTACCTAATTGCATCTGTCTTATTTTAAAAAAAATATCTCAAGTTTGACTCAGGTATCTTAAAAAATATATTTTAATCCATGAAATCAAATCTAAGTCCAAGAGTATGACTACATGTGAAAAAAGTTATAACATCCTCACAATGCCTATCAAAAAGATGGTATCAATTTGATTTTGTGTTATTCAAGCCTTAAAATATATTAGTAGTTTACCAAGTAATTTAATTATTAAAAATTGATCTTAAAGTTACTCCAATCATTTTGTAACAATTTAAGATAATTTTTTCGCTATAAGAGTATTCATAGAGACTAGTATCTCATTCTGAAGAGACATCATCATCAGATTCATTAATATATTTTTCAAAAAAATTATATATTTAAAACTAATAAATAAAATCCTCTAATAATTAGGTAAGATTTTATTTTAATGCATATTTCCTAATAGTTTGGTGCGACTTTTTATTTAAAAATCTTTTCGTAAAATTTTAAAAGAATCATTAAATCTTCTAATAATTTGATAAGATTTAATTCAAGATTTAAATCATCTAATCGCTTGATAGGATTAAAAAACTGTTTTTCACAAAAATTCATTAAGTCATTTAATAATTTGATAATACTTAATTCGATATTTAAGTCCTTCAATTATTTAGTATGATTAATTTAAAAACATTTTTAATTTAATTTCTTATCAAATCATTTTTTTAATGTTTATATTGGTATACCTAATAGTTACAAAATTTTCGTAAAATGATGTACGAAATAGAATAGATAAATGAAAAAAAAAGCTAAATGAAAAACAAATGATAAAGAAAAGAAAAATACCAAACTTCGTATCACACAGCTCAACTTGAATCCATATGGGATGGATATCGGACTTCATAAATCCAAAGCTTGGGCCTAAGTAAATTGTGAAAAACCTCCCCCTCAGTCAAATGCCAACCCCTTTTTCTTTTATTGTTTTGTTGGGCTTGCGGTCTCCAGCTTCTTTTTTTTTCCTCTTTCTAGTCTCTATTCTATATAAAATTAAGCTTATTTGTTTATAAAACATAGTCACTATTCTCAACGTTTAATCACGATACACGATTCCCTTCTGTTTTCCTTTATTTATTAAGCAATTTCATTTGTTGTTTCACAAAACCAAAAAAATTTTCACCGTTGAGGTGTCACCAAGCTGTCAACTCTATTAACTCAACCACCTTACTTCTCTATTTTTTTTTTTTATTATCCCTCTTTTTCCCCTTTTTTGAAACTCAGAACAGATTGCCAAAGACAAAACCAAAAACACTGTCAACTGTATTAACTCAGCCACTTTACTCTCTATTTTTTTTTTTTTTTATCCCTTGTCAGAACAGATAAGACAAAACAAAAACACTGTCAACTGTAATATACTGATTGCAAAGACATAACTGAAATGCAATCATATACATGTTTTATCTTCCTTGGGTTTTGTCCCCAAAACTAATCCCAAATTCTTAAAGATAAACCACTATAATTTATATTCCTCTTTTTTTTTCTCCCCCTGTTTCTTTGTGTGATTTCTTATTCTCTTGCTGGGTTGTGATGATTGCAAGTCTTTTTTATAGGACAGATTAGGAGAATTTCAAATAAACACAAATTTAATTTAAAACTGAGATTTTATCACTTATTATTAAATTCCTATGTTATCAACAAGGTTTTTTTAGTTTATTTATCCCTTTTTATTAGCAAGATAATATAACTAATCAAAAACTAAATAAATAAAACTAAACATTAACCTAATTTAAATAAATTAGATAAACAATTAAACAAATAAATTAATTAAAAAGATAAATCAACATGATAAAGTAGAAAATACAAATTAAAAAATATATTAATACATAAATATAAAAAATAAAATAAAATTTCATAATTAAACTTAAATCTGTTCAGATCTAATTGATTTGAACCCCTGAACTAGATAATATATCTACATCTAATATTATTAATGATAATTTTGTGATGAAAAATTATACATAATATAACTTTAACTAATGTATTTAGTATTAATTTTGTTCTCATTACATCTCACCTCATGTTTCAAACTCCCAGTTTCACCTTTATACATAACTCATCTCACTCGCCCAAACTCTCAATTTCACCTCCATACATACATCTACCTCTGTGGAGGACAGACGATGCATTAATCTAAGATAACCGGTCACGTAAGACAGGTGAGCTTTTACATATAAGAAAAATAAAGGTTTTTTTTTTTTTTTTCTCAAAAGCACATTATTTAATCACCGTTTATCGATTACAACAGATTTTGGTTAGTTAATCACCATACAACGGAATACAAGTCATTGGCATTTAATGGGAGATATAATTTCCAAAGATCCAACTTTGTCATACAATTAATGTAGAACATGCATATAAAAATTATTTCATTTCAGTGTTCAATGAACCAATAAGAATCCCGCTGGACTTGCAATAAAGAGAGCAAAATGGCTCCCATTATCATAGTTAACTCTACAAGAAAATGGTTAACCAATTGGTATAATTTACAGTCAAAAGCTCATTTTCTCTCTCTCTCTCTCTCTACCTCTAAATAATGTATAGACAAATAAAGACATTGTTTCAGTCCAGGTAAAAGAGAGTCACAATCTTCCGGAGATTCTTGGCTTCTTGGCATGTTTCCATAAGCAACTTACTGTCATGGAAGGCAAAGCAAATGACTTGTTGTACATGTGAAATGATGTCCCTATTGCACAGCCTGCAAATTTGACATTGACAGCATGTCAAATGAATTTTTGTTTAGCAAACTACACAGAAAATCAACAATCCAATAGCAACAAACTATTCATTCTCTAGGCCTACTGCATATATCATAATTGCCGCTCTAAGCCTCTCTTTCTACCCCTTTTCCAGCCAAAGTAGTCTCCCGATGCCTCTTTTCTCTCTCTCTACACCCCTCCATCCCATGGTACCAAACTGGTGTATAATAGCAATCTACGACCAAGAATAATAAGTTAGCACAGGCTAGCATTGCATTCTCCGATTCTTCCATGGTAGCCAATTAGGTTAGACAAATATTTCAGATGTGTTCATATACAGGCTTGACCAAAGTCAAACAGAATAGTGACTAAGCTATCTTGACTAAACCCAAAATGACTAGTGCCTCGCACTAAGCCAGCCTAGTACCTCATAGAATGAAGTTAAATTGGCAAATAATTACGAGTTTCCACTTGCTACCCAATGCTTTATCAAAGCAAACAAGCTCAGCTTAAGTGACAGAACACTAGTTGCCAGAACTGCTAAGTTTCAAAGAGAATTCCAAGATAGAGAATCTCCAACCATAAACCCTACTACTAAGTTTCACAAGCATGCAAATCGAGGAAATAGTAATAACACAATACTTTGTTCTGTAAAGCAACTGCCTTATCATTCGATAATGTAATAATAAGTAGCTCAAAATTCACTGCATTTATGTTAATAGACTTTCCAGTATCAGCTTCCCTTTGAGATCTTATCACAAGCTCATTATTTTTAGCTTGAAACCTAAAACTGACGACTGATTGTACTCTGCCGGTGTGCTGAAATGATAACTGGAAGAAAACAGAGTTATGACAAACCTGCTGGCTTCTATCAGAGGTAGATGATCATTATAAGGCTTCTCTATCACAGTCTTCACCTGAAAATTTGCGAGTAAAACATTAAGTTCACACCAAACAGAAAAATGTAATTTCAATTTCACCTTCCAAATTAATTTGAGATTTTCAGTAAAAGCAAGTTTAAAACATCAAATTTACAATGTTTAATTATCTGACTGCACCAGATGGCATCAAACTCTTCATTACTACCACTGGATCCCTGGACTTGGACCATGGTGGCAACCATCTTCTATAAAGCAATAAAATTCAAGCATAAAAAATTTGAAACTTGTGTTACATTTGAGCAAACACTAAGGATCTCTTAGATTATGCTTTTAAGCAAAACCACAACAATGAGAATGTGAAATAAAAACCGTAAAAAAATCACATTCTTACTGTATAATGCATAATGGAAATATAACACTGAATTTACCTTACTTGTGATAAAGTATATCCATTCATAATGTGTCTTGCAGAAGATTAGGGACCAAAAATGAAATTTTCCAATAAAAATTTCAAATGCCTATGAGCCTTAAGAACTAAATTTTCTCCTCACTATTGCATACAATAATAGTCTATTACATAGTGCTTAATACAAAAGAAATATCATAATTAAACTACTGCAAGCCTTGTACTGGTGTTAAAAGTTTCAACTAGATACTTGACAGGTCATCTTTGGGCACAAGCCACATTCCACGTCGGTAGTGCAACTGGTAAATCCTTGGTATATGACTGTTTCCAAATGATACCAAAAGCAACTCGAGCTAGAACTTCCAGTTGATGGGCCTGTGGTGTTGCATTGATAACAGTTTAACATAAGAAATGAACATGATATTGCCTGAGCAAACCGAGTTTAACAGCAGTCCTTCAGGTTTCCAGAACTGATTATGAATTTTCAATAGAATCTTCTTCTATGGATATTAAAGGCAACATGTTTACTCATTAAAGAAACAAATCTAACAGATGTAAGGAAATTAGCAATGTCAGATGAAGCCATAATAATAACTAATGGCACAGGCAAAAAGATTCCTGAGGATGAGTAAATGATATTACAACCTAATTACCTTTTCTAATAATTCCTGGCTCTCAGGTGGCTGTTTCTTCAAGCTCTGTGGCAATATTACTGTAAGTAACTCAGGTTTCTCTGCTCTTAAAGCACCTCTGATAACAGCTGCATTAGTACCTGATGCACCTGATGTATAAATATGGTTTTTCTGCAAGCAATGTTAGCAACAAGGTCAGAAACAAAACAATTTTTGGTGCAAACATATATAAATATATATATATATATATATTCATGGAGAATAAAGATAGTGAGACTCAGAAGATTTCAGCATGCAACAACAATCCATGGTGCCATATAGAGAAGGATAAATAAAACTTGAAGTCATTACATCTTACAGTTATAACTAATGCATAGCTAAGGATCTCAATAAGCTCTTGGTGCATGAACCCCATATTCCGTGTCCCAAAAAACCCAATAGCTCTAGGCCCTTGCTGCTGAATTGCTAATAACTCCTGCATAAATATATGACCATAGATAGAAGTTAGCAGTCAAAACAAATTCCAAAATACTAAAATCAGCAAATGTTTCAAGC